CCCCGGCAGTTAAAGTTTATGGCCTCAACGCGTACTCTAAGGTGCGGGTCGTCTATTTCGGAGATGATCAAACACGAGGGTATTTCAATGTCTCCTTCTTCGACAACACACGCGAAAATCGCTCCACGATGTTGTCATTCGAGGACGCTGTCCGTGACATCAGGCAATGGTGGATAGACAACAATAGAATCGAGGCCCCGAAAGCCAAGGTCAGCGAGAAGGATGAGGTGGCCGTTGCACATCAAAAGACGTGGCATAACTTCTTGAGGGCCTGTATGGGGAAGGCATGCGACAAGGCGTTTGTAAAGCAAGCTCTCGAGAATGAGTACAGTAAGGATTGGAGTAATAAACTCCGGGGCTACATGAACCTCGCCACATCCAGTGTCGCAGTGTGGCCGCTGATCGAGAGGTTCTTCGAGATGTTCAACGAAGGAAAGCTGCCAGTTGGCGATGGCAAAATCCCGCTTGACATGCCCGGGAGAATCGAAGGCCGCCTGCCAGGCCCGTACACCGACGAGACCAAGGGACAAAGAACATTGTACCATTGCATATATGCAATAGATGGTCCCAAAGGCTCCACCGTGTCGTGGAAGGACCTTTGTCCTTCCTACTTCAAAAATTTTGGGGATTTGACATGTCGTGAGAGGGAAGTTGCGTTGCTCCTGCTCATGAAGGGGAAGGTGGTCGCAACGAACGTCAAGGTCTTGCCTCCAAGAGTGAACACAGAGTGCCTCCTCGACATCATGCGAAAGGAGCGGTACATGGTGCGTATGTTCAATTATGTTATGTTCCGCGCCGAGGGAAGGGCGGACGACGAATGGAACGACGCGTTCTTCATGTCGTACAAGCACCTTGAAGACAGGTATGGGCCAAACGGTCTGTGCGCTGCTGAATGGGAGAAGGAATGGGACAAGTTACATGTCAATAAGGTGAAGATGGTCCCTCGACGACTTGGAGGAGTGGAGGAGGCAAGGCAAGGCGCGGGCTTGGGGCCTACGGCGGCAATGTATAAGGAGGCTCCGTTTCACCTTAAGGTCTTCATATACACTGCAATCGATAAGCTCGATTTGCTTCGCGCCGATGTGAAACGGATCGCCTCCAGCGCGCGTCATATTGTGTGGGACAAGATTGGCAAACAAACGACGTTGCTACCTGTGTGCATGCCATCGAAGGAAGTGTTGGCAGCGCCAGACGACATCGTCGCTGCAGCGCAAAAAATGACATGCACGGCCGCCATCGTGGACATCCCATCCTCGAACTTCAGCACGGCGTGGACCTCTCACGAATTTGATGCCTTGCACACATTGATGACCAAGTGTTGTGGCCAGAATTGGGTTCTTTTCTTCTTTGCGCCGCAGAAGGTGCAAAGCGATGTTCTGCGTCACTTGTTCCGCTGGAAGGACGTCGAAGTCATCCCCGGGACCTGGAAACGGGTGGACAGGCCACCGAACGACATCACTCGATACGGCAATATGGATACGACGAGTCGAGATATGATGGTCATTGTCCTGCACGCCGACGGAGGGGATCTGAAAAAAGTAACTATCAAACCCCGACTCCACAATGACCTCACAACCGTGCACGTTGTGGAGGAGAAGTTCGAGAAGTGTCAAACACGGTGGGATAGAGGGCGATGATAGTGCGGTGTATTCCATCTGGGAGCGAGAGCCTGGAAAGTTACGTTCATTGTGCGGGTCATTTGTCGGAGAGGCGGAAGGTGTGTTTTTGTTGGGTAGAGCACACACAGGTCTTGTGTGGGAGTTATTACTAGCAGGTAATAATGTCCTTGTCTGCGACGAGTCGGCCAAGGACATTGCATATCTAACAAAGTTCGTCAATATACTTGTGAAGGATGAGAGATTCGTCTGTCATGTCGAGAAGCCACGTTGCAAACATCGTAGCAACAGGGACATGTTCCACAAGTTGGGACGCAAGAGACTGAAGGTGTGGGAATACCTGTTCCGCGATGCGCCGCAAGGACAGCTTGATGAGAATTACATCTACAGGAAAGCAAAGGTGACAGAGACCCTGAAACATTATCACGGTGCTCTTACTGGCGCCTTTGAGACTTTTGTCGCTTGATGCGAGATCCTGAAGTTCGATCTTCATAAAGACCAGCTGATGTCCAAGGACTACACTGATCTCGCGAAATCGGGTGATGGCTTTAACCCCGTCGACAACGAGGAAGACTCTTCAGGGTCCGACCTCGAATTGGGCGATGGCAAGGGTGGTGAAGGTCCGGCCGGTGGCATGGTGCGGTCACACGATGAAGGGACCGTTCGCTCGCATGAAAGACCCGTACAGGTGGCCGCCCCCAGTGTTGGCTCGATGATGGCCCCCATGGAGGGCACCGGTTTGCCAAACATGGGAATATGTGGTCCCAATGATGAAGATGACATTGATATGTCAGGCGAGGCGTCGAAGCTCGCACCAAGCGATCCAATTCCTCCCGACTATTGTGCTGATCCGACCACAATTTATTTCTTGGGGGGCAAACACGCCCGCATTGGTGAGGACAAGTGGGGCCATGACATCGTGTGGCATGAGGGCATTTTTTAGCCCTGCATCCAAGATGGGGAGTGGAAGATGGCGGTCAAATACACATGCGGATGGCAGACGTTTCGCCGGATGTCAAAGGACACATGGCTGAAAACGACAGAACTCGCGATTATGTACCGCGTGCAAAAGGAGAATCCGGGGAAGAGCGAGGGCGCTGTCGAAGACAAGGCCAAAGAATTGTTTTTTTTATTGCGAGACAATCAGCAGTTGGAGTACAGTTGGAAATTTTACGCCCTGTGAACGAGTCCCTCATGTGGGTCAATCGACTGGAAGGTCAATCAAACTATCGGAACCATGGAGGAGAGCAGCTCTCAGGATGCCATGCCTTTGTCGGCATCGCCCCCCGTACCCACGCAGGCAGGGCAGAGGGAGGATGACGGGAGTAATGTGGTGAAGACT